GAGATTGTGTCTTCTTGGTATATGGACCCACAGTGCCCGGCCCATGGTGGGCACGTAGAAAATGCCCATGGAGTGAGGGATTCTGGACAGAGACCCTGTCTGGTGCTGGGATAGCTTCTTCCAGCTGTTCTTTGACCTCTTCCCTCCAAGGCTGGTTAAGTTGGGTATGCTTTGGTGCCCACCGACCACTTTGTCTTGGGCCCCTTTGATAATTCCCTTTGAAAGGAAACCACAAAGTCTGAATTCCATGGAAGACAAATGGCCCATGATGGTGATAAGTGGGCCACACGAACTTCCTTCAGAGGCATGGCGTGGAGAGCAGCTTCAAGGAGACAAGGCATCCAAATTCCCCATCCCAAAGCTTCACTCACTGCCATTTTCAAGGGCTGTTTCGGTGTTGTTGTTATTTGGTTTTTTAAAGAAGAAGCACCATAACCCTCCTGCTCAGAAATGAATGAGATGTCAACAGTGGTATGTGTCTGGGGCCCAACAGCAGCCGGAGACCACAGGGCATGCACTCCCTGAACGTCCACAGTGGGGCCAGCGGTCACATTCCAAGAATCAGGCCATGGGGATGTTTGCTGAGCGATGCTGCGGTTGCTTTCTAGGTAGGCAGGTCTCCTCAGCCCTCAAAATCATCGCAGGCATAAAATGACTTTTATGAAATCACATCTCAAGGTTCTCTATTCATATTCATTTTCTGCTTGCTCATTCATTTTGCCATCTGTGGGAGCTCATTAGCACACAAGCTACAGCAGGTGCCAAAGGTTTAAAAAAAATTATGGGAGGAAAAACTTGAAATTGATCAAATCCTATCTATCTTTCCTTTTTTGCTCCTATAAATTGAAAAATGACAGCCATTATGTCATTTTACGAGAAGAAATGTTGGTTGCTCTTTGTGGTGCTGTGGCGCTTTTGTGGGAAGGGTTGGCACTTTCTGGACCAGGGAGTCTTTGTCTAGCCTCAGGGCGTCCCTGGAGGATCATAGATGGGCTCCTGGGGGTCCACAGCCTTCCTGAAATAAAGTGCAAAATTGAATGTATATCTCTGTGACCGTGTGCATTTTTTTTTTCTGGAGAGAGCTCAGAGCTTTCACCTTATTTTGAATCCAAACAAGATTAAGAATCAGTGTTTTACAGGAAGAAAAAAGAAAAGAAGAAAAGGGAGGAAGTAGTTACCTTAGCTCATTTAATCCTCATAATTACCCCCAAAACCCAGCATCATCAAACACTTACTGGGATGTCTGACCCCCATTCTCGGCTTACACTCATAGACTGTTAGAGTTGGGGCACACCAAAGGCTTATCTGTTTGTTTTCCAACACCTCTTCTTATAAAGAGGGGGAAACTGAGGCCCAGAGAAGTGAACTACATTGTCCAATGTTATATGGTCAGTTTATAGCAGAAATGGGTTGGAAAGCCAGTCCTTTGACTCTCTGTCCAAAGCCTTTGCCACTGTTGCTTAGCTCTTGCAAAGTCAGTGAGCATAGATTTCCACAAATGTTAAAGTGAATTAGTAAGAGACTCTCCTCCTCCCACCTGTCCTCAGGCTGGGTTGGTTCCCACTGACCTACTTCTTGGTTCCCAGGGAACTTCTGGCCCCAGACGCGCCCAACCTATTAGCTCTCGGAATATTCAAACGCACGCACAAAATGATTCCATGTGCCAGGAGTCTCAGATGAATGGGGAGAAAGCCATTTGCTAAATAAATTAACCCTTGGCTAGGAAGTATCTTCATAGATATTTGGAGAGCAGGGGAAGGAGCTGAAGGGCTTCAGCCATGACTTATCCCTCATCCTTTGCACCTGCCTGTCTCTAAGTGGTCATTTTGGAGGTTTTCCCCTTTCCCTTCTTTGCTGGGGTTCCCTGGACCTACATGGTGGTGTCCCTTCTCTAGCATTCCCCACCCTGCAGACTTGGTATGTGCGGTCTCTCTCGTTCTCTGAACTTGGGTTCATCTTTGTAGTCTGTTTACTTGTCAGTATCCCTGCTCAGATGATGAATTTTCTTGGGGGCCAGTGCTCAGTGCATAATGGACAGCGTAGGGCTGCCCTGGCTGTGAGTGCATCAGGGCTGGCTGCATCCTTGGTCTCCCGGAGCCGCCACCTCTATTCTATAATGGGCAGCTCGTTCACTGGTGCTTTCTGGAGGCCCTCATCTCTGCTCCGAGGTTAACTCTCAAAATCAAATTAAAATCTCCAGGTTTTTGGAGGAAGAGGTCCTAGGTGTCTCCTTGGGCCTCTAGGCTCAGGCAGGCTGAGCTGAGCTTCCCCTGAGCAAACAGAGTAGCCACCAAGATCACATCTCTGGGCGGTGTTGGCTCTGACTTCCTCCTTCCCAGCTCACCAAGAACCTTTCTCCAGAGACCCTCTGTGAACCTTTCTCACTAGGCGTGTTTGTGATGAAGACTCTTACAAAAATAGCTTCAAGCTGGAAAGAGGAAAATAAAATAACTCTGATTTCTCCCTGCCAAAAACAACAAAGCAACAGCGTGCAAGCAACCAGCTCAGGCCTTGGCATGGCTACTCACGGAAATGCTTCTTCCATTCACTGCCCCTAAATGCAGCAAGTCCCACCTGATTCTGTTTCTGAGGTTATGTGCCGTTATTTGATTGACTGATTGATTGACGTGGCTCTTTGAGATTACTGATAATTCAGCCTGTGGTTTGGGCTTGTGACTATTCCAGACTCCTGGTCTTCCTCTCATCCTTGGGGTCCCTCTCGAAAATGTGACACATCCCCGAGTCTCCTCAGTCTACCAAACGTCTCCAAGTCTTCACTAAGGAAATGAGTACACACATGGCTACTTGTTTGAAATGAGAAGAAAAATCACCCCAGCACTCCCAAGAATTCAAGCATACACTGTGTCTTTGGCTAACAACTGCTTAGTAGCAATCTGTAGCTGGCTATTAATTTGCTCTCTTGAGTTTCCTATCTTTTCCCCTTTAAACAGATTAAGTCTATAGTTCTGCTCCAAGATGAGCAAAACAAGAATCTCCAAATTGGAAGGGGCGTGTACATATATGAGGCCCAAAGCAATCCGAACCCACTAGAATATTCGGTGCTCCGTCACAAATTGATCTGGTTTTTTTTTTTTTTTTGAAAAGGAAGCCAGAAATCCAATGAAGCAGTTCACATTGCAACTTCAGCTATAGATTTTTAAAACATTTATGAAACTGTTAAACTGGAACAAGGCAGAAGCATCCTGTAGATTCCCAACTCACTGAATAGACATTTCTTTTGTTCCTGTCCCCGATGGGAGCGGTCTGAGGACACTCACTGTTCCTCGGCATCTGACAGTCGAAGCACCAGAAGGACATTTTCCAGCCTGATGCAGTGAGGCGTGTGTTTGTCTAAGGAGAGGGCCTTCCGTGCCTTGGGAAAGTCTGGAAAAGTGATCACTTTCAGTGCTTCCTGTTTTGCATCATCTTGGTGGGTCTAGAGATGGAATTATGAGCCTGGGAGCTTGGGAGTGTAGCTTTGACATGGCCATTAAACTAACTCTGTGACACTAGGCAAGTCCCTCCCCTCCTCTATTGGGTCTGCTCATTTGGAAAATGAGGGCAGTAGGCTATATGGTCCAAAGGGCCTTTGGTAGGTAGAATAATGCCCCCCAATGATGGCCACGTCCTAATCCCTGGAACCTGTGGATGCGTTACCTATGTGGCAAAAGAGACTTTGATGTTTGTGATTAAGTTAATGACCTCGAGATGGGGACATTATCATGGGTTATTAGGAGGGCCCAGTCTAATACAGGAGTCCCTCAAAAGTGGAAGAGGGAGGCAGGAGAGGGTCTGGGATAGAGGGAGAGGTGACCCAGAAGGTCACAGCTGTGTGAGGCAAGGACTCCACCACCATTGCTGGGTTGGCCGATGGAAGAAGAGGCCACCAGTCACGGAATGTGGGTGGCCTCTAGGAGCCGGAAAAGGCGAGGAAACGGTTTCTCTTCTAGAGCCTCCAGAAGGAACACAGCCCCGCCGACACAGATTTTAGCCCGGTGAGATCCGTGTCAGCCTTCTGAATTCCAGAACTCGAAGGCAATACGTCTGCGTTTTAAGCCAGTACATTTGTTGTAATTTGTTATAGCAGCGGTAGAAACCGAAAACAGGGCGCCTTCCAGCAGCCCTGCGCTCGGTCCCTAAGGATTAAAGCCCGGCTTGGCCCACAGCCTCGGGCAAGCCCGGCTGAGAAGGTGCTTGGGAGGAGGCATTTCAGGGATGCCTTGTCCCAGCCGCCCCCTGGCCACCGCGTGTACCTGGGCCTGGCCACTGCGTGTGCCTGGGCCTGGCCACCTTGCCGGGTCCCCCTGCGCGGAGACAGCGGCCTGAAGGGGCCTCAGGAGAGTAAAGGTTAGGCTCGCCCTGCAATCAGCATGATGCCAGAGGACAAGGATTCTGCCCAGACAGGAAGCCCCCTTCTGTGGGAGGGGCTTGAAAGGGCACGCCCTCTCCCCACGAGGCACCTCCCCCCTCCTTTCCCACTTGGCCAGCGATCCTGGGGAGCCAGGCAGAAAGCCAGTGTGACCTCTGCTGGGACAAGCAGAGGTCTGCTTGATGGGGGGTGGGGAGGTGGGGTGCAGGGAGAGGGTCTGGAAAGGCTGCCGTGTGGGAGGGAGGCCAGCCCGATTTCAAGGACAGGATCAGAGGGGTGGGAAGGCTTCCTTCACGGTTTTTAGGTTTGGGCAGCATTCTCTGCCTCCCCCTCTTCAAGCCACACGCCCATGGTCCGCGACAGTGTCGTTCAGGCCATGAACTGTGACCCCCTTAATGGTCATGAGATCATTTACAAGGTTGCAATCAATAGTTTTTAGAGATTTAGAATAGACTAAAAGTGCATACGCTCTATACACTTTGTAAAGGTAAGCGCTGCTGCAGGAGACTTTACCTGTATATAATCTGTGGGTTCTGACCTGGCCAGCCTGGCCCCTTCGAAAGGCTTCGCAGGGGGGGAGAGAGGGCTGAGTATGGGGGAGAAGGCAGCACCGACTCAGCCGTTTCCACAGACCAGCTTTTAATATGACCATGACTGGAAGCATGAATAAATAAACGCCAGAGAAAATGGAAAAACCAATCAAACCAAACCTCAGAACATCAAAACCCCAAATCAGAAAACAAAACCAAACAAAACAGATCTCCGACAGACAAACAAAACAACCACCCCTCCCCTGAAGAAGAAACAGATTCGGACTGTACAAGCTGGGTCACGGGGACAGCAGAATGACATGAGTCCCACGGATGAGTGCTGGAGTCGCCCAGGCCACCCTGCCTCCACCAGGCGCTGGGACAGGGGTCGGGTGGAGGGCCCTGGTCAGCCCATGGGCCGGCTCGGGGGAGGGAAGGGGTTTGTGGGCAGGTTAAGAACCTTCACAAAGTACACAAGGACCGGACGTGGTTGAGAGTTCTGTGCTTTCCCTCTCGACTGTGCAGCTGTGATCCCAGCATGACCATGGGGTGGTGACCTCGGGGCTGGAACCTGGTCCCGCTGCACCCTGCAGAGTAGTCGCTGGGAAGTGCGTGGAGCAGAGTCATGTACAGAGACAGACGTGGAGGTGGCGCCGTGAGCAGTCTGAGCATGCAGGTGCTTTATACATCTGGCAGTGAGATGTGATGGCAGGTTGATTCTCGGGCAGTTCCAGAGTGTGACTCATTTCTCCTAAAGGGACGCACGGCGGGGCCCAAGGACATGTCATGTCAGACGTGGCCGCAGCGAGGTTTTGGCAGAGAGTTTGCTATGTGTGCATAGAGGGCTCTTGCTTCTTTCTGTCATCAGGGGCCATCCCACCTGCACCTGCTGTCCCCTGTCCTGGGTCTTGGGCCTCCAGGTCTGTTTGGGGGGTGCCGGGTGGTCCAAGGGCTGTCAGCAGGCAATCTCCTCCAAGGTGCCCAGGGCCGTCTGCAGGGGCACATTCACAGTGTGGCTGATGGTTTCAGAGTGGTTTGGCATCGTGTCACAAGTGCTCTGGAGGGAAGGGGACAGTGGGGGTTGGTATTCATTCTGCAAAATGGCATCACGATGCCACTGGCAGCCCAGCCGAGGCCCTGGGAGCTGTGCCCCCCCGCCCCCCCGCGGGCTCTCCAGGGGTGCTGCTCCTGCCGCAGGCATCTCAGGGGCTGGCGAGCTGTTGTGGGGCACGAAGCTGGGGGCGCCTCGCTGCCTTCAGAGCCCTCACCATCGCCTACCTAGGTGCCCCCAGGGTGGGCAGAGGGCTCCCTGGTGATGGGGCTCAGCAGTGGTTTGAACTTCTCTTCTAGACGTGCCCCTAATGTATCACCCAAAGCTACATCTGAGTGCTCTCCAGCTTCAAGGCAGGAGGATATCCCCTCCTGCCCTCATCCTGGGGGGGTCCCCCTTGAGGCCTTCCTGGGATGGAGGAGGTGGAGCCCATGGCTAGCCTGGGGCAGGGCATGCCAATGGCTGAGGCCAAGGAGGAAGTGGGGAGGCCCCCCTAAAAGCCAAAACTGGAGTAGTCCCAGCTCCCCAGTGGACTTTTAGGGTGTGGCTGGCCCCAGAGGAAAGCAGGGCAGGGCTGGGAGGGCCTTGAGTCTTCCCAGTGCCTCCCAGGCTGCAGAGGGCTGGAGGCTGGGAGGGATGGGAGCAGATACTAGGAGGCTGTGCCAAGAACGTGGGGGAGATTTGATGAGGATGGGGCTGGGGAAGGGGGAGTGGTGGAGGGGGGCCTGGGGGAGGGGGAGGCGGCAGAGGGGAGGCTGTGTCTCTGAGATGTTCTGAGGGCAGAGGGAAGGTGGGGTGCGGAGGGAACCTCCACTTGCTGAGCACTTCCTATAACCGAGGCACTGCTGCTGGTTTTCGAGGCAAGGTCCGCTTAATCCAAGTGACAACTCCCTGAGGTTGCTGTGAGTCTGCAGCTGCTCAGGCACACAGTTAGGAAACAGGGACCCCCGGTCCAGAGCCTGGGCCCCTTCCACCTGCCCTCCCTTCCACAGATAGCTGTCTTCTATTCAACAGAGCTGCAAGGGCCCGAGAGAACCAAGGCAGAGATTTTCAGCCTGGAAAGTGGGTAGAGAACTAGTGTCTGGAACAGAAATGGGGGCCTGTCTGGGGGAAGGAGCTGGCCTCAGTTTGGATTTGTGGCCTTCAGGCCCCCTAGTGGGTGTGGTGCTGTCAGGGCAGAGCTCTCCCCTGGGGAAAGCCGGAGATACCAGGCAGCCGGGAGCAGACTGAGTTTGGGAAGGAGAGCGGACAGCCAGCTGTAAAGAGGTGCTGCCTCTCTGCCCGAGGGAAGACAGGCAGAGTGGGTCGGTGGTCAGGGGAGCTCTGCGTCCAGCTCTGCCACTCACCAGCTGGGGGACCTGGGGCTTCTGGGCCTCAAGTGCCTCAAATACACAGCACCCGACGTGGCACACAATAGTTAGTTATGATGGGTATCATGGCTGCTTCCAACCTCGCGGGGCCCCGAGCTCCCTGTCCCCTTCAAATGGAGTAGAGCACCAGTGATGTCCTTACTTGCATTTTGCCCACCCGAGGACTAGGGGCGCAGAGCCTCCCTACTTCTCCCAAGGCATGAGATGAGAACAGTAGCCCTCCGGCCCGGGACAAGCCCGACTGGGCCAGGCGGGACCTCCCTCTGCGAGCATCTCCCAGGCCGCATCCAGCTCTTGCCATTGGGCCCCAGGGCTCAGTGGGGGTGTCCTCCAACAGGCCAAGTTAAGGTGTGCGGGGAGGTGCGTCCCTCCTGCCCTGGCCCTGACCCTGACCTCTGGTCTTGTGAGGCCCACTGACGCAGGGGACAGAGCAACCTACAGCGCAGGCACTGCTCTTACCACGTTCTCATCGTGGCTCCCTTCGTCCTCTTCTTTGCCAAGCAAGTCTAGGAGCTTCTCTTTGATCAGCTGCAAGAGAATTGGGACGGGCTTGGTCAGGTGGGGAACGGGTGCAAAGGCAGAGGGAGCCCGCCTGGCAGCCAGCTCTGGGAGCCCCTCCCCCAGCTTTTGGCTGAAGTGACGTTTTGGCGCAGGAGCCTGAGCCTGGAGGAGGTCACAGGAGGGCCCCATCTGGCATGGGACTGACTTCTCTTGGGGATGGAGGGTGTGCCTGAGAGCCTGGGAGCCCGTTCCAGAGGCTGGGCCTGGGGGATGAGGGCTGGCAGTCCCACTTTTCATTAGATCAGGGCATCCCTGAGTCCATAACATTTGATTCTTAGCGATAAAGGGTAGGCATTCAACGTGTTCCCTGGTATGATGTAATTTCCATCACTTTATACAGCAAAAACTTCTATTTCACAATAATTAATAAGCAAAGCAGAATAAGATCTGATCTTGAGGCCTGATCTGGGTTTGGGGAACAAGGTCACCATGCTGGGAGGTGGAGTGAGGTGCTCCCGAGGGCCCTGATCTCAGGGGTCTTTCCCCACAAAGCTTCCCAGTGGGTTTTGGCTGAAGACAGCCCCCTCTGGGAGTCAGAACACTGCTCTGCAGGCTCCTCTTGCTGGACCAAAACTCAGGGGGTCCTGGGGATGCTGCGGAATCCCCTTAGGAATTCTGGAGCCCCTGGAGCCCGCCTGACTCGGGGGGATGGCACAGTGACGCTCAGAGCCAGAGGCCATGGTCAGCTGCCCGTCCTTGGAGAAGCTTTCAGAGGCTCTATTCCAGCTGCCTGTTGAAGGAGGCATCTCAGGCTATGCACAGCCAGAAACGGCCTGTGTGCCCTTGCTCTTCTTGCTCAGGCTTGATGGAGACCACCAGGCAATGCCCCTTCTCTAAACCTGCCCGCACCAGGACGAGTTCTACTCAGGTGACGGGCCACCCAGAGGGCGGGTGTGTGTGTTGTGTGAATGTAGCGTCTATGTGTGAGTGGTATGTGTATAGTGTGCATGTGTGTTTGTGAGTGGTGTGTGTGTTGTGTGAATGTAGCGTCTATGTGTGAGTGGTATGTGTATAGTGTGCATGTGTGTTTGTGAGTGATGTACGTGAGTGTGGCCGAAGTGTGTGTGTATGGGTGTGTGTGTGTGCATGTGCTGTGAGTGTGTGGGTGCAGGCACACACATGTATGAAGCGACCACAGCTGGCCTTGTGCAAGAGGGGCTCAGAGCTGGCCTCAGGTTTGGCTCTTCTCCTTCTCAACCCTTCCTCTCCCTCCTTTTGAGTGTGGACAGCCCACAGCTCTTCCAGCTCCCTGAGGATAGGAGCCGGCTTTGGTCTCTCTTGGACTCACCCCTCCTCTGTGCCTACGACTTGGTGATAAACAATGTCCATGGACAGGCAGGAGAAAGCAGGCTCTGGGTGGAAAGAGGTCATTCTCTCCCCCATGCTTTGGTTCTGAACATCAGGGCAGGACGAGGGTCCCAGCATATGATCATTTCCCCACGAGCAACCCCAAGCTTACCTCATAAATATAATCAAAGAGCTCTAGTATTGTAAGGATACTAGCACCAATAAACAATCCCATTTGACCACCAATATCACCTGGGGAGAGAGACAAGATCAAAGATTTGGCTTTAGACACAGCACTTCTAGGAAGGGGTGAGCAGACGAACTCAGAAACCAGACCTTTGGTACCATTCCCCTACCAGGGGGAGCCTGGGCCTGGGACAGGTCAGGCCTTGGACAACTCCCTCTCTCACTGGAAACAGCACCCAGTGGCAATGGGAATGAACCCGAGTGCTTACTGGAGGGCCTAGAGTAGACCTCCCAGGCTAACAGGCTTATTCAGTGACCTTCAGAACCACACGGAGTGGGCCCTTCTTTGGCTCTGGGCTGGGAATAGACAAGAAGTGTGTTTGCCTGGAGCGAGGCCAGTCTAGCCCAAGACTCATGGGTCGGGTGTCCTGGGTGGGGGTCTTGGGAACAGTGGCCCAAGAGACCCCCCCCACCCCACCCAATCATGACAAGGCCTACAGGGCCAACTCAGGGCAGTTCTCACCCTTAGGATAAGGTCATAGGAAGCATCCCCTCACTCCCCCACCTGAAGGTAAATGTTCAATTTGGTCTTTTTCTAGAGTAGGGGTTCTTGCCAAGGGGTGTATAGGCCCCACTGACCAGAGTCTTTCCTGGCTGGTCTTCAGGTCTTCTCCCTCCTGAGAGATCTATACTCAGTGTAGATGTCTGGACCTACCCTGGGTCTATAAAATCAGAATCTCTGGAGCTCGGGTCTGGGAGTCAGGAGTTTTAAGTTTCCAGGTGTCCTATGCCCACCAGGGCTTGAGAACAACTCCCCTGTGGGAGTTGCCAATGGTTGGAGACCCTTTGAAACTGAATGCAAGATGTTACATGTCTGTACCTGGGTATTTGTAGTGGGAGAGTTCCTAGCTGAGAAGCTATTATCAGATTTGATAAGGGATTCTGGTCCCCTCAAAGCCCAAATACTTTGCTCTGGAGGCAGTGTGGTAGAGCAGGGGGCTTGGAGGCTCTGAGTTTGGAGAGTGGCCACCAGCTTGCTGTGTGGCTTTGATAAAACCTGACCTTCTCAGTAGCTTTGCCTTCAAAGGGCATTTGGTGGGGATGGGAGTGGAGGAGACCACTGTGAGGTCCTTGCAGCTGGAAACTCTACAGACTCTTAGCTGCTGGGCTGAGCAGGGAGAGTGCTGGGAAAGGTGGTGCTGCCAGGGTGGATGCCCAGTCTTCCTGGAGACCCCAGGTTGACGTCTTGGTCTGAGAACTTTCTGTTGGCTCCATCTGCCCTCTCCCTCCCTGATTATGGCTGAGGGCAGGCCAACAACCACAGTCCCAGGTGAGCAGGCAGTGAGGGTGGGGAGGGGGCTCCTCCTGGTGGGGCTTGGAGCTGGGCTCCAAATGGTTCCCCTCACTCCTCTCCCCCTGCTCTCTCTCTCATGCCCTTAGTGGGGACGTTACGGGAAGTGTGTACTTACCGATGTATGTGTCAGGTGTGAGGTGCGTGTTTGCACGTGCGTGCAGCGTGACCGAGCATGGGGTATGTGTCAGGGCACTCTGTGTGAGCACGTCTGGCTGTCAATGGCTTTATGCAGGTGGCTCTTTATGTCTAGGGTAGGGACACTGAGTGTGTCCAGTGTGTGTGAGTGTGGCGTTGTGGAGGTGGGCATCGTGTATGTGTGTGTGGAAGCTGCATGAGCATGTTTGTGTGTATAGGCAGGTGTATGTGATGGGTCTGCAGTGATGTAGTGCATATGCACAGACGTGTCTGCAGCGCGTGGCCTGGATGTGGGTCTGTGCTCTGCGCACTGGTGTGTGTGGCTCATGACCGTGTGTGTGTGCGCACACGTGCGTATATGCTTTGGGGTGGGGTGTGCTATGTGTGACCTGAAGGCATGTGTGGTGTGCCCTGGGGGGAGGGTGGGCTGCACGGTGGTGAGGGAAGGGCCTGATGGGCCCGATGGCTGAGGGTCTGGGAGCGGCACACTCCCATCACGGGAGGTACAGATGGCAGCGTGATCCTCTCAGCAGGCTATTCTGGGTGGGAGCAAGATGCTGGGAATGTGCTCATCCTCATAGCTGATGCAGAGAGGAGCTATCCTTTCTGACAGATTCAGAGCTCAGGCCCTCCTCAATGTGTGTGTGCATGTGTGTGTGTGAGTGAGAGAGAGAGAGAGAACAGTGAGCTTATGTTGGGGAGGATAGGGAAGAGCCCTGTCTTGACTTCTATTTAGGAAATGAAGGTGACAAGGTGACAGAAGCAGGGTGAGGGGGTCTACATCTTCAGAGCATGACTTCTACCTCGGGCCCAGGGTATTAGTCTCTTGGTTCAGTCCCTTATGGCCACAAGAGTCTCCGGGACCCAAGTGGCAGCCACCTTAACCCAGCTGGGTCCCCGCTGTGGCCAAGTCCCCAGTCTCCTGGGAGAGGTGCAGAAATGATCTGATGGCATCTGGAAGAAGCTGGGCCCTGGGCCCCTGGCATGGTGACTGTCCAGGTACCAGAAACTACTCCTTATGGATCTTCTGTGGGCTAGGGCTCTATCCCAGTGAACCATCCCTACAAACTCATCAAGTGCTTTGATTAGACCCATTTTACAGATGGGGGACCTGATGTTCAGTGAGGTGAGGCCACGTGCCCAACTTCTCGTAGCTGGTATGCATCCATCTGACTCTGTGCCTGTCTACTTCCCTCTACACCTGCTGCCCACCCCTCCCCCGCACCTGACATACCACTCTCAGTCAGTCCAACTCACAGAGGGAAGAGCAGCTAATTTTCTTTGTAGGGACAGCATCATGTCCTTTCTTGAGAGTGAGCAGGCATTGGGAGAAAGGCCCCAGGGGCAGGTCTTTTAGCTGTCTACCCTGAGGGGTCTTGTGGGTTTTGCACTGGGTGGGGCAGGGTTGAAACAAACTCCCCGCATCCATTATGTGCTCATGTGGCCAGGTTTGCGGATGTGACTTTGTGGGGGTGGCAGTCAGGTCTGTAGACATCTGGGGATGTGTGGCCCTTCTTTTGTGTTTGACAAAGGACTCTCAGTCCATGGGGAACATCTGGTCTCCATGCTCAATGTTGCTTTCCAGGTTGGGCTCCATCCGGGGCCCTCACTGCCTGGGGACCACCCACAGCTCAGCCTTCCCTCCACTGGACTGCTCTTTGTCCCCACTGTGGCCCCGGGGCTCACGCCAACCTGGGGGCAGAAGACCACGGAATCCAATAGGGCAGCGCTGGAAAGGCCCTGAGAGACCTTTTAGCTCACCTGCCTCATGGTGTTGATGGGGAAACTGAGGCCTACGTTGGGGCATGAACTGGGCCGAACACCTCCACCACACTGGAGTCCTTCCCATTCTGGGACAGAGGGAGTAATTAGTACATGAAAAGGCCAGACTCCTCCGAAGGTGTATCTATCTACCTGCCTGCCTGTCTACCCAGCTGTCCATTCCCCCTTGCTTCCCCCATGACCCGTGGAAATTAGCGCAGCCGACACTGACTTACCAAGTAAGGCAGCGACTTCATATGCCTTCTTCTGTTCAATTGTCTCATAATTGAGAGCTTCAAAAAATATATCCAGAACAAGGATGTTCTCTCTGCAGAGGGAATATTCAGGACCATATGTGGTGAGAACCCTCAGTGGCCACACAGACCATCTAACACAGCTTTCCCCTTGACAGCAGAAGAAGCTGAGCCCACGAAAGTGCAACAACTGGCCCAAAGTTAGAGCTGGTTGGTGACAGAGCTGGCCTTGGAGCTAAGAGTCCTGACCCCCAGCCTACTGCTCTCTATAGACCAGAAGCACGTATCAGCTGTGCCCCTCTGTCCCTCAGCTATCTCCTCTTTGTGTCCTTCCCATGAGTCCTGCCTGGTGTCCAGGTCTCTGGGCCCCCAAAGTGTCTTCCTGGTTCCTCACCAGCAGGTGAGCTCAGTACTCTCTTGACAAGCTCTTCACTCTTTGGTTGTGCTTGCCCCAGCTGACCTCCTGGGTACTCTGTACCCACTCCTGACAGCCCCCCATGTTCCTACTTGGATTTTTCTTTTTTTAAAAAGATTTATTTATGAGGGGCGGAGCAAGATGGCGGAGGAGTAGGAGACCTGGATTTCGTCTCCTCTCAGGAATTCAGCTGGATACGGATCAAACCATTCTGAACACCTACAAACTCAACAGAGGATTGAAGAAAAGAATAGCAACAACTCTCTGAACAGAAAAGCGACCACTTTCTGGAAGGTAGGATGTGCGGAGAAGTGAATCCGAGGTGATATTC